CGTATTCAATGAGGTACACCGTCCGCCATCCCAGTTGAGCCCCGAGGTCCTTGACCGCGAGCTCGTCACCATCCTTGACACCCGCTTCCTGCAATGTATTCTCGTCTACGAGTGCCTTCTTCTCCCCCCTGAGTGACAGCTTTTGCCGCGAAGGATAGAACTAGGAGATTTCTAGGAGACGTGACCAAGACACGCATGCAGCTAGCTCACCCTTGGAAACTGTGCTGCAATAGCCGACTTGACCTCCGCGACCGTCACGTCTTCGACGCTTTTGTCGAGTTTGAGCGTGATGGGAAGCTCACGCGCGAGCGGTGCGCGGCCCCCAGCAGTGACTGTTAAGCTGACCATCGTGCAAGCAGCGGGACACTTGCCACGACACCGTTCAGCGATGGGAAACGTGCGTGACTTGCATCAGTTCACTCCGCTGACCTAATTTAAACTCAGATAGTAGACTGCTGACCTGCATCATAGAGCATCATAGCATACTGATTCTCGGCGGAGTTACATAAGCTTCTTCACCTCCGAAACGCGCGTCGCGATCTCGACGCGCTGGGCGACCGACGCGTCGCACCTGCCAGTGCTTGCGTCCCAACTCTCTCTCGTAGTCTATCTCTCTCTCTTTCTCTCTCTCTCTCTGTCTGTAATCTATCTCGAATTTGATGCAGAGGTCGACCCAAGAAGGGTCGCAACTACACTCCTTCGACTCGTTCAGCTCTCTTGCCGGGGTCGCATTCTGTCGTGCTATCGCGTCAAGGCGACTTTCATGGCCACCACACGACTATCAGCTCGAGGGGGCTTGCAAGGCCTTGAACGGAATGGACGTCCCAGCGATTATGCCCACCGGATCAGCAAAGACCGGGATCCTCCTCAACTACATGCTCGTGGCCCAGGCAATCGGAGACGAGCCTACGCTCTGTCCACCCGCATTGCGCGCACAATTCAGACGGAGCCCGTCCATGGTAGTGGTATGTCCTACGAAGGCTTTAGCTTGAAAGCATGATATGATAGGTTCACACTGCTCAGATTGGCCGTGTGTGTATCTCACCTTACGACTGGGCACCAACTTGAAGGTTCGAAGGAGTTGGCCTCAGCACTGTCTTCAATACATACACCTTGAATGCTGCTCGTGACAAGGTCGACCCATTGGCGAACGCACGGTCTAGCAGGTTGATCATTATCCTTGCACCCGAGCAGCTGTGTATTTGGCTCGTACCTCTGCGCCAGGTTCGACTCCTAGAGGTACCTGCGCCAGGTTCGACTCCTAGAGGTACCTGCGCTAGGTTCGATTCCTAGCGTGCCTCTGCGCCATCCTCGTCGGCGGGCACCGTGGTGTCGCTTGTGGGCGCCTGCCCCTTCACGTGCACGCCACCCCCATCTTACGTCATCACCCGTCACCGCCACTTCTCTCTCTCTTTTCTCTCTCTCACCACCATCTTGTCTCGCACCCGCCCCGGCGTTGTTCAACGTCGACGAAACCCATCTCATTTGCAGCTGGTCTGAATTTTGCCCGAGTGCGCTGTGGTAGCTGATTCTATGTCAGCCCAATGATGTGTGGCACTGGACTCGGAGTTGGGCACGTCCGCCGTAGCCTGCGCCTTGCGCTTCGGAACCACAGCCTGAGTGTGAAGGCTGTTCTCGGACTTGACAGCTTCCTCCGCTTCCCGGCCAAGTTCTGCTAGAATCGTCTGTACGGCAAATGCTCTCAGAGTGTCACGCACTGGTCGGATATCTCGCCAGTCCTTTGTGATGTAGAAGGACACACCCTCATGCTTCATCCCATCCCCGGCCGTGAGTCCACGAGGCGACTATATGGGTGGTGGTAAAGCATCTCTACGAGTTTTGCTACCGTGAATTCACTCTTCTCTCTGTTCAGGAATTGCTGGACACACTGCACCTACCTCAGCATGCGGGGTGTGCCCGAATGTACAGAGGCTCTCAGTTCAGCTTGGGCTCGCTTGACCGAATCTTAATATAGTTTCTGCCCCATCGGAGCGGTTGAGTCGCACCCCGCCACCGCACTCACCTCTGGAGACGAGACTGCTGGTGCCAGGTGGGGGCGCGTGCCCTTAGTACTTATACTGTTTATGCCGCGAGTTGGAACCGCGACTGTCCTTCGACGCCGGTTACTGTGACTGGTGGGTCCACTATTCTCCACATAAGTAGTGGTCTACTTAGCGACCGCGCTGAATATAAGCACAGCCTGTTTACTACTCAATTTCGTCACTCTGCAGAGTCTGCACAAGCGCATACCGTCGCTTTCGATCGCCGTCAGTGACGCGTCGCGCCAGTTCTACCCTCGACCAGCCTCGGTGACGTCACCTCGTCGCGCGCACGCCGCCCTATGCCATCTGCCGCGTATACAAGCTCATTCATGACGCTCGTCGCTGAGCCTGTCGAAAGGTACATTTGCGATCGCCCCCGCATAGATGCACCACTGTCAGCCAGTTGACAGCAGCAATCTTTACAGAATCGGGCTATGTTGGGAACCAGTTATCATCCGTCCGGATGCTGACTTGCAACTTGCTTACAATGGCGCAAATGCGTGCACGGCCCGAGCCGCACGTACGCGCCCTGCATTGTGTCACCTGACCGCGTTCTGCATGCACACGCGAGAGATTCACTGCCCAGTGCAGGCACTGACAGGGGTGAGGGCTCTTGTACAGCACCGATCACCGCCACCCGCCGCAGGTACTCACCCCGCCCCCGCCCAGCGGCCATCCAGTGAGTCGCACCACCCACTGTACGTCCGATCAATCGATCACCCCCCGTCACCCACTGCACGTCCGTTCTCTGCCCTGCCGTCATGGTCGCGCCTCCGCCGTCGCCTCAAAAGCGTCATTGCCTGACATCACCTCGCACAATGCCTGCCCGCACACGTCATCACCTCGCCCGCCGTCCACTCCTTATAAGCCCGCCCCCAACGTTAACAGCTCCCTCTTCATGCCCCTCAATCGCCTCGCCTCACCCACCCCCCCACGTCTGCCCTTCCCTCCGGGCCCGTTCGCCGTCCGCGTCCATGCTGTCGTGCGTGGTGCAAAAGACGTCTGATCGCTGTCTCCCCCGACGACGTCCTCCCCCTCAATCGCCCCATCTCATGCCCGCCTACACAGCCCGCCGTGAACGTACATTGCCTCACCTGCCGCCTTTGCCAACGTTAGTCGGCCTGCGTTCCCTGTGTCACGCTCCGCCAACACCCTCTCGCTCACGTAGACAACACGTGCGTCTCGGTACTGCCCTTTCCCGCCACCTCAACTTGACGATGATGCGAACAGCATCAGTGCGCGAACAAGGCCCACGACCGTGACTACGCGCACAACGATCTTGGTGACAACGCTCACAACCTCGCATGTCTCCATCCCCTCGTCATACCCGGCCTAAAAGCCTAAACGGTGGATATGCCTGAAGGTACCGCTACCGCCAGGCTCGTGGTTGTGCGGGCTCCTCCGATGGCATCCCGAGTCTGTTGCCCGTTCAAAGGGACCTCGAGGTATGCCCTGCCTCCCGTGCGCCCACATCGTGTCCTCTCCTCCCACAAGTGCGCCGATACTGCACCATTGCGTTGATGCCGACACCACTAATCCACGGTCAGGGGGTGCGTTTCGTGTTGGAAAATTAGTTATCATCCATCCGCATTGCGGATGGATGCTAACAACTTGCTTATTAGGCCCGGGCGGCACGTCAGCGCCCTGTATCTGGTCACCTGAATCGCGTTCTGGCGATAGGAGTTGCTGCCATCACAGTGGCAGGCATGCCGAGGGCCATTGACTGTATGCCTGAGCGAGGAAGCATCGGCACTTGCTAGTATGGCCGGCCCACATATGTGTAGCTCACATATCTGGTGGCACACGATCGGCTGCTGCCTCTCCACTGGCACATATGGCCTCGCCCTCGCCACGTCCTCCCGATCACAGCATTTCGCATCTGCAATGCAGCTACGAAAATCTCACCCGCTTTGCCATATCGCATACGCCCATCTATGAATCACACGACGACTAACCCCTGGTTGCATAGGATCGCCCACTGTCTTCCCGCGTTCCCTGTTATAGGCAATTCCGCTCGCGCGGCGCCTCCAGCACTTTGATCATGACGTGTACACCGCCTCGATCCCCCGGACTACACATCACCGTATTTGTGGAGGCATTGTGTGACTGTCTATGTCTTTCGTGCTTTGGAGAGTAGTCAATGCGAGTAGTGGAGTACTTTCTATATGCTTCTTCAGCCGAATGCCCGAACGCAGGCGGCAGGCTTTGGGTGGTTCATGTTGGGCTGACATAGGCCTCGAGCACCCGGACGTGAGGTGCAAGAGCATCTAATGCACATTGAACTCGGCATATGCTGTTGCAATGGCGGAGGCAAAGCAGAGGACCCTTGTCGTGTGTAACTTGGTTGTGAGCCCACAATGAGATGGCGCTCGCGCCGCTACGATTGTGAATTGAGCGGCACCGTGGGTGTCTTTTTGTAACAACGAAGAAGTCTCATGACACACCAGAGGTGACTTGCGCGCATGAGGGATGATGCTCAGTAGGCCCCGCAGGCAGTCTACTTCCTCCGCAAGACTGACCGTCCCCGCTTCGCGTGAGTAGTAGCCATTCGACCGTCAATTTACTACCCCTCAGTTCTACTTCAGCATTGTGCGGATCGTCTTCACGCCCTAGTCGTTGGCACTGCGGCACCAATATCTTTGACTAGCGAATCCTTACGAAAATTCGTCCCCTCTGAGAACCTTTACGAACTCCAATTGTCGTCAGAACATGCTGCGAACATGTGTGTTTTCGGTGAACATGCTACGAATATGAACGCTTTGGAGCGAGTCAGTGAAGCTCTCCGAAAAGGCTCTTATGATCACCAATGTTCTTTGGAGTGCAAAAAAACTGATTTGCCCGTGGTATATGTGCACATAGTATGAGCGGGCGTCCAATTTGAAAACATCCGGCGCTTAGACTTGATTTTTTTCACCCCTATTCTTACTGCTTAGAGCAACTTTGTGCGCTGATTGTCAAGGACCCTTAGCTCAGCGGTAGAGCATCTGATTCCAGCTTGTACTTGCTTATGTAAGCAACCAAATTTGTATATTTGGAAACCTGGGCACAGCATCCAGAAGGTCGTCCGTTCAATCCGGGCAGGGTTCAATCCTTTGTCTTTTTTTCTCAACGCCAAAGAGGCTCCTTGATGATTGGGGGAGACCCAAGACTGCCAAGGCTTGCACTGACTATTCTCGGGCCGCCATTACATCATGGAGATCAGGGACACAGCTCCTTGGTCAAGAATACTACGTTAGTGTGATTCATGTCATGTCCTTTTATATCACTCTTGGCCATCATCATATATCCTCTGGGTTACTACTGGCATTCCTAAGGGCTATGAACGGACATGATGCGACAGAAACGTCAGACACAGACAAATGACTCTGGACTAGTTTCATTGCCTCCAATGTAGCTCAGCATCGTTGGGTACTGTGTAGGACATCAGTAGTCAGTAAAGTGATATCCTGGGCTACTCACCTGACAGATGGGCCGTATGAAGCCCACGTCATTCGTCACGTTGTTATCGTTCCAGTACACACCATAGATAGTATCCGGGGGAATGCCTTCTTCGACCCACTGCACCATGGCAGCGAGGATGTTATACTGTGGGTCATACGACAGCGGCGGCATGCCGCTTGATGCCTGCGAAACAGCGCCGAACGCGTTCGCACCGTATCCACCCTAGGGCCAATCGGTCAACGAACACAGTACGACTGTTCAAGACCTACCGCGCTAGACAGCCAAGTCCATATCAACGCGTGTCACAAGTGTCCGAGCCATGCTACTCACCAATGGTTCATGCCCGGAACGGTATATAACCGATAAAAGTCGTCGATATTTAGCTCCGAGTCGGCCGCCATGAATGCGTGGGCGGTCTCGTAATAGTGCAACGAGTTCCCAGGGCTGATCAGCTGGTCTGCCCAGCCGACGTAGTGCATGAGTTTTCCATTCCTTCCGGAACCCGCGAATGCCGTCAGGTTGGGGCTGATAGCCTGAAGATGCCTCGTCAGCAAGCAACTCGATGCGGTACACACCACGGCCCGCACATTGCTTTGCCCAGGATTAATATCCTCCGCAAGCTCGATGAGAGACGGGTTGTAGTCCTCGACTGTCCACGAAGAGTCGCTAGAGAGCCCAACGCATCAGTGGCACCGCGAACAATCGGCACAGTCACGCACTTTGTGATAAAGTACCGGAACCAACTAACTGGGATCGCGCTCGGTTCCGTAGCGACGAGGCCATACGGATATGCAGTCTCGCCACCTGGATAATATGGCCCAAAGATCCACGTCTGGTTGGTCTCCCAATAGTCTGCGTAAATCTTGTGCAAGGCGTCGATTTGCGGGATCGTAAGACACGTAGCAATATCTTGACCCGGGCGGCATGCGAGAGTCTCTGGGCGGAAGCTATCCCCGTGGCAGTCGGTCAGAAAGCGACCTTACATGACATATGTACACACTCACACGCAAACTCTAGGGTCGTTGATGATACCGTCGGCGAGCTACCAAGCACGGCCGAGTAGTTTCAGCATGAGGCTCCCTCAGTGACTGCGGGTGCAGGCCTACCCCATCCAAAGCGTCACACTGCCGCAAGACCTCGGGATGAATGACGTCAATCCAGGTGGACGCGTTGATGAAGCGCGGTCCGCCGGCAGGTAGGACGTCGAGACTGATGTGAGCTGACCAGTCTTGCAGATGAGTCAACCAGTTGGCCGGAGATCCGACTACCTGCATGGGATATAGCCGCATGAGTGTTTCGTGCGCGGACAGAGGGCACATAATCGTACAATCCCATCAAAGTCGTCAGGGAATGATTGGGCTTCTTTTAGCCTGTCAGAAGTCAATGCGTAGATGCCCACTAGACAACCTATAGGCACTTACCCTTGACGGCCTCCTACGCATAATGTCATATTAATGACGCCCGCTCACACATAATGACGTACTCGCCTGTTGAGCATCCCATGTAGTACGACTTGCTGATGTATTGCCCATAGTATTGCTCAGTGAGCTCTTTACCGGCGACGATGCTCAGGTGAAGTGCGCGCCAGCCATAGTCAATAATCGCGTTCTGTATCAGCAAATAAATGAAGCGTGCTGAAGCGTAGATGGTACACACTTACATCGTTACCGAGTGCCCACGCTCCGTCGCCTACGCCTGAGGTGTGCCCTGTATCTGTACCTACGCCAACGACTACACTCAGCGTAAATCAGCTGGTTGCACAGACAAGAGAATGGTTGCTAGGGCATACAGCCTTGCGGGACGGCAACAGACCCCAGCGCCGCAACATCCACTGTGTGTACCTTGTCAGCACTGCAATATTATGCATACGATGGACGTTCGGAGCACACCTCCACCAGCGAGCCCACCATTCCCGACCGTCAGGAAACGTCCATTCCAATCGTCGGGCAGCCAAACCTCCGTGTAACACGTAGAATTGGCTGTCGTGTTTGTCGTGATCTGGAGCTGGAGCCGGCAGAATGCGGGCAAATTGGCTACGTCTATGGTAGACTGGTTGGTAGCAAGGTCGACGGTAGCATTGGCGGGGTAGTACGTTGCCCCAAGGAGAGTGACATCGGCCGCGTCTTCAGGCGTGAACGACTCGCAATCCGTCTGCCAGGCGATACTCAGAGGCACTAAACATGCCAGCCCAGCAAGCAGAGTTGCCAGGGTGCGTGTCATCGCGAAGAGGCGGTCCAGGCGGTCCAGCTGCGCGACAGGCGTTCTTCGGACAGGCGTTCTTCGTCAGTTGGACGTACACCATACAACAGTGGGCTATGTGTTGAACGGTGAGATCATCCGGCAGCATATGAATGTGTTAATGAATCACCTGGGCATCATCTGATGCAGCCGAATAGTGCTGCGACCGATCCCATGCGCGGCGACTAGCCTATTCTGTACAACCGAGCCAGCCCGGAGCGCGGTACCCAGGCCATGGAAGAAGTGGGAAGCCGGCCAGGCGATGGAGGAAGCTATGCGGAGAAAAGCATGGTGCTGCATTTTGATGTCAAGATATTCAAACTGCATGTTGAGCTGGCCTCGTCGTCGTCGGCCGTGGCGACTGAAGCTAAAGCTTGAAGGCCGGCGACTTCACGATAGACGTCCTACTATGCGGGACGATGACCGCAGGCCTCATGACATTGAACAGTAGCCGTACCGTTCACATCAAAGTAGGAATCAGAATATCAGTCTCCGCCACGGTCACGCTGATCGACCGACCATTGGCTCAGGAAGATTCTCGGGTTTGGACGAAGCTCACCTAATAGTAATACAGTAACGTAGTGCAAGCAGCAGTAACAAAAGAAATGTACTTGCGCGGCTTGCAAACGTGTTCGTCAGCTGGTGTGCGACTCTGAGATGAAGCAGTGTAACGTTGCTGTCTGCATGGCGGACGCCTTCGCGACGGTGGTTCGCATACGCTCGTTAGCTTGTAAGCAACTGTATATCATAGCCCTGCTCGGTGCGATGAGTTGTTATCCCTTCGTGCCGCTCGACTTCACGAACCTCCGGGAAGCCATAAGCCCCGATGGTCGATGCTCTCATCCTTTCTTCTTGTTATAGAAGATACACAGCAGAGAATGAACGATTCGTATTGTCGTCGCTGATCATCGTGCCGGTGAAACGTGAGATTGATTAGCGCGGGTGAAACTCAGCTCGTAAGGAAGGCTCGGTATCCATAGATGCTGCCGCGGCGCGGTGGAAGGTCATGTCGTACACTCTGTTTGGTATCGATGAGGACAGGCGTAAACTTCAAGCTACCAATCTCGTCAATATATGATGTATGAGTCCGGGAGCGCATACTTCAAAAACGCGATCACGAAAGTAGCCATGCCTAACACGCTGTTTTTAGGGACGCAGGCTGCGGACGATCGTCAGCGTCAACAAATGACGACACTCAAGTAATTCAACTTACATCGAACGACGCGGTGGAGGCAGACCCCATTCCAATCCACCCTAAAATGCTATGCTCGTTATCAATCACGAATACCTCCGCAGTATGCTCATACACGCAGTTTGGCCACTGCACGAGGCGTTCCCGCCCTCGGAAGGACTCGCCGCGTCGGCGCCGACCGTATCCGAGGCGTTCATAACCTGCGATCAACGACGCAGCGACGAACACTGCGCTCCCACTGCTCTCAGTGTGGCTGACCTCGCATCAGAGCGCGTCGAGAAGCGGGTCCACTGCGCGTGCAATTTCGCCCCCTCGCCCCGCTCTTCGAACCCGTCATACAACAGCGCCATGCGGCGCTGCCGATCCCATTCGGCACCAGTGCACTATGCAGGGGCTCGGACGCATCGCCAGCGAAACAGCCGAAGCTACACTGACGCCTGTCTCGAGGTTTGCCCATGCCACTGTCTTTGAGTCTTTGTAACCACGAGCAAGACCAGTGGAGGCATCCCGGTAGTATTACCATGAAGGTCCCGTTGGTGGGTGATGCTTTCTACGGCATTGCGCAGAGACGTCATCATACGAGTGTGCGTGCACGTGTGGTGCTGTACGGCATGAAAGAGCGCACCTCGCCAAGGTGGGACACGTCCGGGCAGACGCAGTGGCCGCCCTTCCCGTCCCGAAACAGTGCTTCATCGAATCGTCAAGCACAGTAGGTGTGCTAGCGGACGACGCGTTCTCCGTCCGCATGTATGCGCGCGAGGCAGCGTGCCTGGTCGAGGCGGGTAGAAAGTGTCGCGCGACACGTTGGAGAGGATGTTCGTGACGGAGTCGAAAAACTGCTGGGTATATGCGGGGAGGGTGTCAGCAATCCTGCTCGATACACTAGGTTGGGGCAGAGTAGCTGGTGGAAGACCTTCTGCGTGAGGTCGGCTTGAGCGAGTTGTGAGGCTAGGCGCGTATCGTGGACGCATTGTAGTCTCCCGTAGGCAGCCCTAAAGAAGACCTTTTGAGCGAGGGAGGGGACGGTCTTCTAAGGGGCGCATTGTAACTGAGACAGATATAACCCAGCCGGTGAGGAGTAAGTCACTGTCAGCTCCGTCGGGCAGTTGGCCTATCGCACCTAATAAGTGTGCATATAGCTCCATGCGAAGCGCGCCGACACGATGGTGGGGCAAGAGGAAGCGGAAGCAGGTAGGAGTGCGGTGTACGTGGCTTG